ATTATTATAAAATATTATTTTGTTTTAGTCTCTTTCTTTAATTAAAAAAAAAATATATATTTTTGAATCATTTAATTTTTGTTGTAATAAATAACATAATTTATCCAATCCAAAAACGATGAAATGATCTTGAAAACGTTAAATTAACGAAATGGATGAAAATCATGTATTTATTGAACATTATCCTGTTGAATGTTTTGCTTATGACAGTGATGTTAGTAGATGGACTAATAAAAGATTAGTTAAAGAAATGATGAAAGAAGGGAAACGATCTTTAGCATTTAGATTATTTTCATGTAAAATAACCGGAAAGCAAATGATAGAATTAAAAGAAAATGAATGTGATAATCTTAGACTAAATAGTCAATTAAAAGAAGAATTATTTCAATACGTTAAAAAATATCAAAAAATTGCTTCAATTAATATTTTACAAAGGGCAATTAGAAGACATAAAATCCAACCTCAAATAAATGAATATATTTATAGAGGAACTGTAATAAATGAAATTATTACAACAGAAATTAATTATGTTGATACATTACAATATACAATTGAAAATATTAAAAGACCATTAGAAAATAATAATGAAATTTTAAATTATGAAGAACAAAAAACATTATTTTCAAATATAGAAACTGTTTTTCAAACCAATAAAGTTTTTTGTAGTGATTTAATAAAAGGATGTAGTAGATTTAATATTAATACAACAATAGGAAATATTTTTTTAACATTCATTCCATTTTTAAAAGTTTACAATGAATATTGTTCTAACTTTAGACATACAATTGATCTTATTAAAACATTAAAATATCCACATAAATTTGCTCCTTTTTATTCTAAAATACAATATAAACAATCTCCTTATTCAAAAAGTTCAATTTCTGATTTATTAATAACTCCTGTTCAAAGACTTCCAAGATATCAATTATTATTAAAAGATTTATTAAAACATACTCAACAAAGTCATATTGATTATAATAATATTAAAAAAGCTCTTGAAATGATTCAAGAAGTTGCTAATAAAGTTAATGAAACTTCAAAAATTAATGAATTAACTGAAGAAACACAAAAATACTTTTCAAAAACTCTTCATATTCCAGAAGAAATTCAAATGGTTCCACAAGGTAGAATTTTAATAAAAACAATAAAAGTAAATGGTAAAGCAGATAGAAAATATGTTGTAATGATTTTTAATGATTCTATTATTATAATTAAAGAACAACAAGAAGAAGATGAAAAAGAAGAAAGTTATACTTTTAAATTTTTCTCAAAATTTAATGAATTAAGTATTAATATTGATGAATTAAAAAAAAGTAAATCAGAAAATTTATTCTCTTTACAATTAAAAAATAAAAAAGATCATATCGTTTTATGTTTCTCTTCTGTTGTTGATCGTTCTCAATTTAAATCTATTCTTCAAAATTCAATTGATAAATTCTTTGAAAATAAATAAGAATTTCTTTATTTCAATTTATTTAAATTATTAAATAATTGAATTTACTTTCTTTTTTATTTTTTTTTTATTAAAATAAATAAAAATTCTTTTTAATTTATTTAAGAAAAGTGTTCAATTTAAATTTCTAATGCAGAATGAATTTCTTCTTCTACCATTTCTTTACTTGCTGCCATTTCTTTTAATAATCCTTCCATTGTACTTAATCTTTTTATTAATTTCTTTTGTTTTTGAAGATTTTTTTTAGATTGAATTACAGATGGTTTGTTCATTTCTTTATTTAAATTAATATTCTTTTTAATTGATGTTTGTTTTTGTTGTTTATTTTTTTTTTCTTCTTGTTCAATTTTTTTTAATTCTTTTATTGCTGTTTTTTTAATTATTTCTTCTGCACTTTCTTGTTTGTTCTCTAATCCTTTTTTTACTTCTTTCTTAACAACAGTCTTTGGTGCTGTACGTTTAATATTCATTAATTTCATTGTATTCTCTTTTTGTTTTTTATTAGTATCAATAACAATTCCTGCTTTCTTTTCTAAAATATCTAATACAGCAGCTGTGCCATGTTTAATAACTGTTTCTTTACTTAAATGTTTTTTATTAATATAATTGTTCATTTTATTTGCTTTCTTTGCTGCTTTTTTCATCACTAATGAACTTTGCTTTAATTTATTCATCATTTTCATTAATTTACTTCTATAATCTTCAACATTACCATCTAAATTCTTTCTTTGTTTTTTCATAATATTAATTTTCTTAACTGTTTCAATTCTTTTTTCTGGTGTCATTAATTCCATCTTCATTTCCATTTGTTCAATTTGATCATCAATCTTACGAGCTAAAATATATGACTCCTTTCCTCTCTTTGAAATTGCTTTTTCAATCTTAACAACCATTTCATCCATTAACTTATTATATACTTCTGCACTTCTTTGTTTTAATGAATTCTTTAAATATGGATTAGTAGAATATTTTTGTTCCATAACTTGAAGTTGTTTTTCAACTTCTTCCATCTTCTTTTTTTGTTTTTCAACTTCATCTGTTTCTTTGTCTTTCATAAGATAATCTCCCATATCATTTCCTTGCATAATCATTCCTTCATGTCTAAATTGGTCAACTTGTGGTTGTGCAACAAACCCATAGTTAAATACTGCTTGTGCCTCATCAGCACCTAAAAGCATTAAATGATTAACATGAAGTCTATTCATCAAATTTAATTGTCTTACTAATCTTCCTTGTTCTACAGGTGCAAGAACTCTTAAAATTTTATACATTTTAGCTAATACCATTCTTTTAGTTCTAGCAATTTTTCTTAATGCTCTCTTTTCTTCTCTAATCTTTTGGCGAGCTAATTGTCTGTCTTTTCTCAATCCAATATGAATCATATCTTGGTTATCATTATCAAGTTCAATCATAAGATTTCTTTCTGTCTCTTCTAATGCTTTCATTTTTTCTTCTAATAAACTAATTCCTTTTCCTACTCGTTGTATTCCTTGAGAAACATACCCTGTTGTTTGTCCTTGAGCTGTCACACTAAGTAATAATATACCAAATATTAATAACATTTATTTTAAAATTATGATTTTCTAGTTCTCATATTTTTTTTTTCTTGATTTTTACTCTTTTTAACTTTTTTGTTTTTAATAAACTTAATATTGTTATAAAAAATGAAATATTTATTCCTCAGTTAATTTTTGATAAAAATACTTTTCTTGGTTTTTTTTCTTCACCATACCACTGAATTTGTTATATTCTTCTATTGTGATTGCCTTGTTTTTTTTCATGTTGTCAAGTGTAAACATAACTCTTTGTATTAATATCTTTCTTTGTTCTTCTTCAGTTTCTTTGAGATTTGTTATGGCTATATCTCTCATATATTGACAGACACAAATCTTATAAAATTTATTTTTAAATTGTTGTAGTGAAATCATATTATTTAACAGCTGTGTTTTTAAAATTTCTAATTCTTTCATTCTTTCAGTATAATCTATTGGAATATCTTTTAAGTTTTTTATTAATTTTCTTACTGAATCATACAATGAAGTTGATTCCCAGAGGTTACAATGCTGTGCTTTTTGATGTGTTCCAATAAATGGGTTATCTATGTCTTTAGTAGAACTGTGAATATAATAACTAACTTTTCCAAAACGAATCACAACATGAATAGAAAGGTGTTCATCAACAAGTATTTGAATTATAAGCTTCTTTTTATGGACAAAATAATATGAACCACTTTGGTGTTTTAAAAGCTTTTTTACTGACTCTAAAAGTTGTTGGTCCATTTGGATATTATGTTTTGCAATCAATTCGTCAAATTCCATTATATTTTTTAAGTTTTTTTGAACAGTTAAAGGATATCATTTGTATAATAAAACAAATTATTTTCTCATTACTTTTATGATTAAAATAAAATACATATCAATGTTTACAAAAAATATAAAAAAAAGATATAAATAAGTAATAATAAAATCATCATTTATTTAATTTGTAATGGATAAATATTCACTTCATTAATATTATGAATTTGAGTGATTATTGTCTTTTTGATTTGTTATTTAGTTTTTCTTCTTGTTTTCTGAATAAAAATTATTTTGTTTTATTTATTCTTTTTATCTTCTTCTTTAATGTTTATTTCATTTTGAAATAAATGTCTTTTCTTTATTTCTTTATTTCTTATTTTATGTTAAATGAATATTTCTTTATTATCATTATATTATTATATTATCATTATATTATTATTTAATATAAATATCATTTATATCATTTTCATTTGATATTATTATTTCATATATTTCATTTCATTCTTTATAATATTAATTAATACATTTCATAATCAAATAAAACATAATCAAATAATAAATAATAATTCAATAAGTTAATTTGAAATGATGTTAGTTTATTTCTGATTTACTTTCTTCTTTTCCTGTTGATGTTTAAAATAAATATAAATACTATTCTTCATCTTTGAGAAATTTATTATTTCAATGCTTTTCTTTGTGGTTTATTTTTCTTCA